GAGGTCCTGACTCTCTGTGGTAATTAAAAATCCCAGGGCGTTCCTTGAAAAGAGTAGGGGTGTAACCCTTGCGTTCTGGCCAAATATCCCATTGACCCTTACTAATCACGGCCTCCTAATAATCCCCATCTATGAATTGGCTTCATTACTCTGCTCTCCTCCTCACTAATAGCTGATGTGTGGTGAGCTTTCTGGCGTTCTGGCACACGAAGGCTGCTGTTGCATCATCCAGGTGGGGCTGCACATTGGTGGTGGTGGAGGGGAGTCCCCATTACCTGTAAAGCGCTTTGAGTGGAGTGTCCAGAAAAGCGCTATACCGTATAAGTGTAAGCAATTATTATTATTATTAAAAAATGGTTGATCAGCTATACGAGATTAAGAAACAGCTAAGAGATTAAGAAACGAGATTAAGAAACAGTTAAGAAACAGCTGTTCATTTGTAAATGATGGGCTCAGATCAGTTATCTATTAACTACCAAACGGGCTAGACAAACCAGATGGAATCCTCGTGTTTGTTAACTCTTCCTGGCTTTTACCCACCTACATTTTAATCCGGGTGCATATTTCTTTATCCACCTTAAAGCTCTACAGTAATGTGCTTTTTGCTCAGTGTCCCTTCTGTCTGTTTTCATAGGCAGATTCTCTGTATCTTACACAAAGAGACATGCCATTGAGAACACGTGCAGAATAAGGAGAGGAAAAACAACAAGATGCGTCTAAATCTCAGAGAAAACCTGCAGGATGATTATTGCAGGAACATAAAATCTTAATATTAAATTGAGAGGCAAAAAAATGTGAGGGGAACCCGACCTAGCAGCCAAAACATATTTCAGAAGCTTCTGGAAATGCAGAAAATTTGGGAGCAAGTCTTTCACACCATAGTGTTTCTAGAACTGAAACCAAAGGTCATGGCCTCTTGTACTAACAAGTGGTCTTGAAATATTAATTATTAGTAGTAAATAAGACACAACAATAATACTTAAAAGGAGTACCCAATTTATATTAATCTGCTCTACAAAGCACAAAGAATGAGAGAATGTCTAAAACACAGAAATCTGCTTTACAAACTAAAATCATTTTAGGGAGGTGAATCCACACGCTTTCAAAATAAATGCGTTATTGGAAAATTGTGAACCAGAAAAAATATCTTATTGTGTGATGACAGCACTGCAGCGGAGAGGAGGAAAAGAGGTTTCGTTGATTTTGGAAAATTAAAACTAAGATAGAGCTGTTTACAAAAGTATTTTCCAATCACAATCATTTCTGCCTTGAGTGCACATTTTTGTCATTGTTAAATAAGTAATGGCGAATGACATGGAAAAAAAACAAGAACAGGGCTGGGAAATAATGTTTTACGCATCCACCTCTCCAGATTATATTAAGCATTGTTAGACTACAATAAAAGAGAAAAACAGCTGATAATAAACACTGTTATTAATTATTTAAATATTTGTTTTCAAAGTGTGGAAGTATTCCTTCATAATTATTTTTAACCACTTCTTTTGCATTTGCCAGTCATTTTGAAACAACTAACAACTCCTGTGACCACTAGACACGAGATAACTTGCTCTTTTGACGAGCATTGAAATTAAATTAAACATTTGCCCTACCTGAAGTCCCATAGTCAGCCCTGACTGCAGGAGTGCTGTATCTCACTTTGACATCCCAGCTCTTACTGCTGTGACAAGACGGCCCTTGTTAACGAATCCTAACTCTGCCCGAGCTCAGGATGACCAGTTCCGTGCCTGTATGTAACGGACCGGGACATGAAAACACGTGGCTACAATTTGGCTACAATTTGAAATACTTTATTTTCTGCACGTGGTACAGTGGTTAGCATTGCTGTCTTGTAGCCACAGGGCTCTGGGTTCAATTCTGGACCTGGGGTGGTATCTGCAGGAGGCTCGTATGTTTCCCCACATTCGCGTGGGTTTCCTCCAGGTGCTCTGGTTTCGTCCCACAGTCCAAAGGGATACTGGCATGTGAATTGGATTCTGGGAAAATTGCCCCTGGCGTGAGTGTGTGTGTGTGTCCTGCGATAGACTGGCGTCCTGTCCAGGGTGTACCCCGCCTTGTGGCCATTGCTTGTCAGAACAGGTTCTGCACCTTCACAACCCTGAAGTGGATGAATCGGTTAGAAAACAGATGGATGAATTTTTCTCCGTTATCTCCCATAAGAGAGAACAATGACGTGACATGACCCAGGCTTGAACTTGTGACACCTGGGCCATACACCTCAACCTGCACAAGGCGTCCTGACTGTCCCTGAATGAAGAGCGAGTCCATCGACTGTCGTTGGGGTTCACTCACCATTTCAAAGCTATAATTCTCTCAACAAATCTTCCAGACATCATGCTCAGCATCCAGCAGAGCCTCCTGAGGAAGACAAGAAGAGGGAAAATGGCTTTCAGGTCTGCTTCAGTATTTGCAGTTAGGACCTATTACAATCCTTCCACTCCTAACTCCTGGGCTTGGGTAACTTCCCCCTAAAGCACGACACCATGAGGGAATTTACGATGATGCTTGCAGTAGGTACTCTTACTGTATGTACAGTATAAATAACCCTCTGAAGAGAAACAATACAGAATAATGATGCTCAAATTCCAAATGACTACAAAGTTCTGCCTGGGATTGATCTTCTCTTTTAGAAAAGATATTAGACTATTTGTACTCCTCTTTTAGAAGAGTACAAATAGTCTAATACATTAATATACTGGAAACACTAAATACATTTGAAGTTCTTTGACCTTTTATTTTTTTAATATTACACAATGGGAGGGTGCAGTGGCTCTGTGGCTCAGGATCTGTGCCTGTGGCTGGAAGGTTGCCGGTTTGTATCCCGCAGCCGGCAGAGGAATCCTACTCCCTTGGGCCTCTGAGCAAGGCCCTTAACCCCAACTGCTCCAGGGGTGCCCTACAAATAGCCGACCCTGTGGTCTGACCCCAAGCGTCTCTCCCTGTCTGTGTCTCTCATGGAGAGCAAGTTGGGGTGTGCCAAAAGACAAATTCCTAATACAAGAAATTGTATATGACCAATAAAGTGATCTTATCTTAAAGTGATCTTATATGTACACTGACACATGAGAACAAAATAAGATGTACTTATTCATTAAAACAAAAAACATAAATGACAACTTTCTGTATGAAAAAAATTAACAACAAAAGTGAGAGGGATATGTTTAAAAACCAGATTTAAAGCTCCCCAAAAAATCAAAACTCTGCAATAGAACTCACTAACAAATGCCAAATGCAAATGCCAACAGAACTAGTTTACATAAAACAGCCCATTAGCAAAACAGAAATTTCTAAGGACTTACAATTTGATGTTGGAATTACCCGTCTTCAGTGAGAGTCAGAATAAACATGCTTTAATCTTTTAATGGGTCTAAAAACAAAACCCCGGGGGCTAAAGGAAAACAAATCCCAAGATGTGTTTAAATAAATCCCCAAAAAGAAATAAGGTGTTTAGATAGCACACACAACAATATATGGTCTGCACCTTTGTGAATATACGTATAGATAACCCTAGATGCAGCAGACTTCAGTATACAAACACAATATAAACAAACATAGATGCAAAATACAGGAGACAGATACAAATGAACAACTCACATGTGCTGAATAAATAAAATTCCACATTTTTCATCTTTTTAATTCCACAGAGCTGGGCAAGCAGAGGGGTGTGAACACACCTACAGGACCTCTCTGGTGGTTTTGCCAGTTGACACTATGAACAGACGTCCAGCCCCCTGAAGACGCCAACCCCTTGCTTCAGCTCCTTGCCAAGTACTTTGTTATTCAAAGCAACGAGTACAAGGGAATAAAACAGCCTGAACTACATCCTGCAGGTCCAGAAAACCATCCATTTCCCAAGCGAAGAAACACTGCAGAGCTTTGTACAAAGGGAAAGTTTCACTGCTTGAAAACGAGCCTTTATTGGGCTTCGAAACGTTACGATACCAATGCGTCACCTTTGTCTACTGAGGCGTTTTTTTCCCCCAATTCAATTTCTACGCTGGATTGGCCAATATGAAAAAGCTTCCCTTATTGTTATTACAAAGCCTCATTAAATAGAAAGCATTAAACAAATGTCTTTAGTGCAACACATTTAATGGAATATAAAAATTAATCTTATATATATTGTATTACATGTGAAGAGATTACTTTTAGCCCAGCTACTCGGCTCGCATCAAATGATAACTGAAAGGTTTAACAGACCTCTATCTGTCTGAGGGTCTGTCTAGTGTTACAGTATACCCTTTTTGTGGAGAAGCAGGTACTGACAGTAATGCTTGTCCTTGGCCTACTATCATTCGAAATACCATGTTGCTGGGTAACCATTTTGTTAAGAGCTTCCCTTAATCAGTGCTTGAATGTAGTCTGATTTTAACAAAGAAGTTAAATTCATTGTTCGTTGAAGGTAAAAAGCACTGCCTATACCAACAAAAGTCAAGTGCCGTAACTGCATAATTCCACAACAGAAGCAACACACAGCGCAGTGCAGGTTGTGTCAGGTGGCTGCTCACACAAGTGGCACATTTGCAGAGTGTGCTCGTGAGTCAAGAACTTTTCAGAATGACATGCTCTCTCAGTACTGTGTGTAACTGCCTCCGCTTCAAGCACAACAGGGTTTCTTTAAGGGTTCAAAATGCCAAGGTTAACGGGTCCCACTCCCCTTCCAGGAAAACTGCAGTGGTGTAAGAAAAAAAAATCTAACAGGACACAGCAACAGTGTCATATCCGATCCATGAAGGAACAGTTAACAGTTTATTCCATGCTGAAAGGAAAACAGACATAATGACAGCTGTGGAGTCGTCTTCTTCGTGTTTGGCTTGGTTCATTATCACCGTCATTCACACCTGAAGAAGGCTCCACAGCTGAAACATTTTTTCTTTTCTTTTTCCTTCCAGCAGGTAATAAACCTTTACCTGTTCCCTTGCAGCCTGCACATGCTGGCCCAGCTACCTGCTCAAAGCAGATCAGATACATGCCTGGGTGACGTCTTCTGGTGCAGTGCTTGTGAACAGGCTAGGCATTTATGGAACCAACCACGACTTGCACAGCGAAGAAGAATTTTCTATTTGTTATGTCTGGATAAGGAATCACCCACCTGCTTAAATCATGAGAAAGAACTCAAAAATGAGAATGATGAAGAAGCAAGCAAAACCAACAAAGAATTCGTACAATAACAGCTGAAAGGAGACAGCCAGGCTAAACTACGCCGCCCAGTCCATTTTCTCAAGATGCGAGTGCTATCAGTACACACTGGACACACAATTGCTGCAAAACCATCAGAAAAAAAAGACCCTCTTTCTGGGCCTACATTGCTCTCAGGAACAAGTGATAGAGCAGGTCCTTCATTTGGTCTGATGTGAGTGTACGTAAAGTGAAGTTTGTAAAATAAGGAATAGAAGTATGCACAGTGTCCAAAAATACTTATAAAGTGCTGCAATGTAATAAACACCAGTTTTAACATCCAGACGAGAGAAAAAGTGCATCGTTTCACCAAGTACTATTCACTACAGAAGTGAATGTATGGGCCTGAATTGCAGAGGCCGCCGTGACTGACGGGAAAGGGATACAGCAAGAGGAGGAAGGCTGCTTAAGAGCGTGGAGGTGACAGCGGTTGACCTCGTTTAGTAGGAGCACAGAGTGACCCCAGCCGAGTACGCAGGGCTTCTGGAGCGCAAGGTGGCTGATACGATGCAGTTTTCGGGATCAGGTTACAAAGAAGCGCACAGGAGCGGCGGCTCTGTTTAGCCCGTCTCCAGCGCAGCGGCAGGAATTCGTTCAGAATTTGGGATTGTTCTGGGAAGAGGATTAGGTATGCACGGAGTGATTTGCTTTTAAGGTCGACCTAATCAGGGCAGAAAAAAAAAGGTTTGGTCTTAATCCTGTTAAGAATCTCTCCTCATTAATAATTCAGTTAAAACGGACATAAAACCTAAATTCTCGGCCCAGACGCTGCTCCTGTCCTTTAATCATTACCATTTCAATTGTTCGGGGGGGGTTATATGAATAGACCCTCTTCTTCGTCACGACTGGCTCTGGAACAGCACAGCATGTAAGAACAGGGGCTCAGCGCAAGTCTGCAGCTAAGCTCAACAAACCACGCCTCTGGGCTGTTTGTCTGTAGTGTTGGTTTACTTCACAGCGGGAGACTGAGCTAGACCGCAACAGGACAGCTTTATTCATCCGACGCTGCAGGGTCTGAAGAATTACCCTCAGGATTTGTGTTCTCATTGCAATTACGACGAGGGTGGCATATGGACAACATTTAAATGAGCTACAGCGCTTTTCAGATCATTCTAATCTGTGGCGCACATCCACGCTGTCGGCAGACACGAGCAAAGGCGAGGCAGTCCATTCAGGACCGCTACCGTCTTGCCCCCTTTCATTTTGCCGAGCCCAGGGCTTTTGTTTTTCCGCTTCGCTGCAGGGCGTCTTCGGCGGCACAGCCCGCTCTCCACCTGCCGCTGTCTCCACCTAAGAGTCCCCCCTGTGCGCGGTGTTTCGGGCCGGCCCAGGTGGGGAGACGGGCGGGCGGTCCTGCGCCCAACACCCGGCCCCACCGCGGCGCTTCGGCGAGCCGTTTCACTCCTCACATGCCGCTGAAACGCGAGAGGCGCTCCAAGCACGCAAGGGGCTGGCAAAATGTTTTTTTAAAAAAATGAGTTTATGCGCCAAGAACAACAGTGTCCGCAGCTAGAAAAACAAGCGTCCGCTGTAGGTACAGGGCATTCAAGCACTCTGAAATTCTGCGTTTTCAAGGTTTGTTTTCATAGGTTGATCAAAGGAGAAAATTCCAAAACACTGCAGACAGGGAAATCAGTGCTGGCAGATTGTTTTTCTGGAATATTCAACCTTGGGGTGTCAAATGTCAAAATAAAAACGTAGTAGTTTCTAAAAAACTAAATGAAATGTAATTCATTAGCACAGTGTGGGTTTTTTCCTCAGTTCATATTACTATTACATAAGGATACAAGTTGAAAAAATAAATTCAGCGGGTGATCAAGGAACGTGTCTGTAAAGCTGCAATACCAAAAAGCTTCAAGCTGAAAGGTGTCCCTCTGAAAATTTGACTGCAGTTACATCAGGACTTTAAAAATTTAAAAATGAAAAAAAAAAACAATGCTCCTGAAGTCAGGTATTAGTGCTCATAATGATGCGATGAAAGTAAATACACATTTTTGGAAGATGGCCTCCTAGAATATCCATAGTACATCCTTTCCTCTTAAAGGTTCATGAGCTATGTAATGCATCTGCCTCTCCAAAGATGGTTTGGACACAGATTGTCCAATACTGTAGATGCTGGATATCCCCAAAACGACATTTGAGAAGAGAAGGAGGAGGAAATCAAGAGGGATCGACTGGGA